TGATTCGGGTCGCAACCAATTTGGGTCGCGACCAGAGTCGCAGAACGAATTAAGTTCGTGACCCGAGGTACCACTGTAATTTCTTTTGAGCTAGACTGATTTCAAGGTGCCTTTCAGAGAGTCCACTCACTTTCCATAAACGGATGTTTGTAGGTCGACATTATTTCTATGCTGTTTTTCATGGCCCATGTTTTCTCTTACATAGTACAAGGAAATGTACAAAAACACAATATAGAGGGGGGAAAGTCAGTTAAGAGTAAAGAACTAAAGCAATTTTTTTTCATTTAAAGAAAATCTATAAATCAGCACAAGTCCAGTAAAACTATTTAAAATGACACAGCAAAATGACAAACAATAAAGGTAGGGTGAGATCAAAGAATTTAAAAGCCCCTTTCAAGTATGGGAAAGTCAGCTTTTGATTTATAGGGTTTACTTTACACGTAGTCCTTGCTTAATGACCACAATAGAGACTGGAAACTCCGTCGTTAAGCGGGGTGGTTCAGTGAGTTGCGCCCAATTTTACAACCTTTTTTGCAGCGGTCATTAAGTGAATCATGGCCAATCAGCGAATCACACAGTCATTAAGCAAATCACGTGGTTCCCCATTGATTTTACTTGTTGGAAGCTGGCTGGGAAGGTCACAAATGGCGATCATGACCCTGGGACACTGCAACTGTTGTAAGTGCCAAGCACCCGGTTGCCAAGCACCCGGATTGCAATCATGTGGCTGCGGGGGTGCTGCGACAATTATAAGTGCGAGGACTGGTTGTAATTCCCTTTGTTCAGCACCGTTGTAACTTCAAACAATCACGAAACACATGGTTAAATGAGGACCACCTGTATTTGAGTTCAAAGATCCACCCATTGCAGTGTGATATTGATAGGGGATAGCATCTGCTCACTGTGAAAGTTAAACATAGGCTTACGAAACATTGATCAAAATACTACCAGGGAATGGCTGGAGAGCTTTAAAAAATCCCATTCTGAAATGGCAAACCTCCATACTGTTGCTAAAAACAATATGTGGAGATATCCAGTAATTCCCCAAGAGTCAAGCTCAACTCAGAGGATTTTACCTTTTGGATGCATCATAGTTAACTGAGACAGGTTGACCTTTCAGAGGCCTCTGAAGTAAGATGGAGATGGCACGTGGAGAGAAGGCTCATCCTCACTTGTGGCAAGGGATAGTCGGAATATTCTCCCCAGGGAGAACTGAGCATCAGAGTGCCTGCCATGTAGAGGAAGGGCAGGGAAGAAGGATTGGATTGGACCCAAACTTTACAGGAGGCAAATGGTCTGGGAAACCATCATTCATTTCAATGTATAGAACCACTGTAGACCATGCTAATGGGTGGGGTGAGGGTTAAGGGCAAGGGCGTCTGCAGGGGAAGGTCAGGATGGCAGGCACAGCCGTGCAATTGAAACCCTGCCCTTTACTATCTGTGTGCAACATCAATGCATGTACAAAAGAATGCAGCTCCAGTAATGCAGTAGTATCCACCATCTTGATTTTTCACACATACTGCCCCCCCCAATGCCCTGGCTAAGGACCACAGGTTGGGTCACAACCAAGAAAGACAGCAAGATTTACACTTGAATTAATTTAAATTTTATTAGAAGTTCCTTTACTGAATATTCATTATTACTCTCTGCACATTTCCAAAAATGCATAAAAATTACTACTGTGTTTGATGCTTGTTTTGCTACATGCTCTCTAACATGTCTGCTCAGCCCCCTAAATTCTGGTGATCTCTTTGGCCGGAAGGATTCAAAACCTGCAGCCAGGACATAGCTCTCTTAGGACTGATGAAAAAGTCACAGAACTGGGAAAAGATGCCAAAAAGAGCATCCCCAATGAATGGACGGGAACATCTCCCCAAATACAAAGAGAATAACCGATCTGATGCCTTCTCATTGTTGTGGACTGCAGATCCCAAGGATCTTTCTCTGGCTATATACAGAAGTCTGTGGACAGCTTCTCAGTGTATATCGAGAATGTCCTATCTAGACAACAGCACCATTATTACTACTTTTTTGTATCTAGTCTTTCTTCATCCATTCTCCTTGGTCAGCTATTCCCTTCTGATTATCATTTCCTACTTTTTATTAGCAGCCGCACTGTTAAGCAGCTGAATTAAAGCCCGTTCGTAAGTATGAATTGTCCATAGGTCGGATGTTCTTAACCTGGGGACTGCCTATACAGTGCTCTCTCTCGTGTGGGGTTGAGCAATTGTGATGCTGCATTTCAGCTGGGAACATTTCTCCATTCCCTTATAGCCGACTAAGGAGAGATCTCATTTAGCTACAAAAACCTCAGATGATGAGACTCCTCCAAGCAACATTAAAAAAAAAAAATCAACACACAATAAAAGGGAAAAAAAGAATCATTTTAATGTACAAATACTCAAACAATATCACACCACAAAAAATGCCAATTCTTGCATTCTTACAACCCCTGGTGAAAAAAGAAGCAGTAAATAACGGAGGAATTTCTTTCCTGCTCCCATGTTCCAAAGAGTCCAGGGTAATATATTCTGCATTCATATAATATGAAGTGTAACTTAGCTACTGAATTAACCCATTTGCTGGAATCACACAATAAGTGAATGACAAACTACTCAAACAGGTGGGATTTGCACAACTGGCTAAGCCACAAAAGATAAATGAATAAATAAAATTAACCAAGCGTTCCACATGGCACAAACCCAGTGACTAAATTCTTCTCTTTTCCCACTCCCAGTCTTTAATCTTCACAACACCTCTAAGAGGTAGGTCAGATTGAGACTCAGCAATGGACCTGAGGATATTCAGGTTGCAATTCGATGGCCATCTGTCAACTCTCCAGAAAACTAACTGGAGTTTACTATGGTGTAAACACACACAACAGTGTGTTCTTAATAAATCTTATGACTAAGAGATTTGAACTCAGGATTCCCAGGTCCTATTCTGGCAATATAAATCCTTCAGGGTCATTAATCATTCATTATAGGGCCTTATCATTAACCTCATGTGATACAGAAAACTCTCTGCTGTAGGAGATCCCACTATTAACTGAATTTTTTATTTCAGGTACTGCACCCACAATAAAATCAGGGAAAGGGGATGCCATCAACTCTTGTATATTTACAGAATATTTAGCAGAAGATTAACAGCAGACGTTAGCTGCCAATTTCTCTTCTCATGGCCATGAAGTTGTGGGTGATGCTCCTTGATGGCACCAGATTCTCATTCGACACCAGAGTTGGCCAACCTGGCTCACTCAACAGCAACCCTACATAAATGAGCAGAAGAGAAGTCGTGGAAAAGTGGAGTTTCCATAAAGTCTACTTGGTCATTCATAGCTGTTGGACCATGAATTGCATAATTCCTAGCTAATGTAGCTTGGAGGCCACCAAGTTGGGAGATGTTAGGTAATTATTGATCTACTATAATGAAAGAAACATTAAAGGTAAGCCAGTGGATTGGGAGTGCTTTATTAGTAAAAAGCAAGAGTAGAAACTAAAAAAAAAGGTTGGTGTCCCTGTCAGAATTATTTAGTTCTAATATTTATTGCTGCCCCTCAAGTTGGAGCTTGAAACCCAGTAGATATTGCTTGTGAATTAAGAATTCCAGTACATCATTGAAACTGAGGATTTAATTTAGTGACATTAGAAAAATTCAACCATGAATGATCAAAGTGCTTGAGTAACAATGGCATATCAACTCTCCCTTGCACTGATGATGTTACCTAGCTGGGTAATGAAATGTCTGCAAGGAAACAACCAACCTCAGAAAGCAGCAAGAACCCAACATATCAAGTCTTTCTGGAGAGGATTAAAGCCACACATGCGCGTGCGCGTGCACACACACACACTCAGCTGCTTTAATGCAGCTGTAAATGTCTCTATCTGTGGGGAAAAAAGGCTCCATCTTTGGTTCTTCCCACAAACTAGAAGAGATAATTTCCAATAAAATTGTTACATTGGACTGAGTGCAATACAGCTCTGGTTCACCCATTGCACTGAGCCATGGTTTGGTTAACTATAATTGAGAGGATAAGAAACAGCATCTGTATCCATACAACACATTAAATCAAAAGCAAACAAAGCTTTAGTGTGATAGGCATCTTATCCAGCAGGATAATTCTAGTTGTCAGGGACTCAGTTCAAAACAAACCAAGGCTTAGGGTCACACAATACATCACACATGGTTAGCTTTATCCCTCAGTTCCAGAACTAACCCAATTGCCTGGGCTTCATCCAACACACTGAACCCTGAACTAATGCTAACTGGGATTACCACACATATTTAGCCACATAAACCCTAATCCGGTTTAAAACTCACCAAGCTTACAGTATTGTGCAAATGAAGCCATATGGTGCTGCCGGTGTGGGCAAAGGGAAGATGCCTATGTCAACCCCTCCATCCTCTCCCCCAGTTGTGAGACCCTGAGATTTTGATACCAACGAGCCTGGACAGCAGAGCATCCTTCAGATCAATAAGCAGAAAAAGGCCTTTGGCTGTCTGACTCTTTTAATTTGGGGAGCCCAGGACTGAACTGGAATCATCCAATGAAGAAAACCCCCACAAACTTCCCCTAGTTCAACCTCAGCATTCTGATGATGCTCCATATCTTTATCAAGAAACTTCACTAGTGCTGCCTGGAAGGCTCTCATAGGAAGCGTACGGAGCTTAGCCATTACTCTAGCGGCCCTTTTTTCCTATCCTTGGCAATTTCTGTGTGGGTTGACTGCAAGTCCGAGAAGCAATGGCCATGCTGGCTAGGGAATCCTCCGAGTTGAAGTCCACACATCTGGAAGCTGCCCCTGACGGGAAAACATCGACATAACTAGCCTTGTCAACACTGTCCTGTAGAAGTTTCTTCAGAGGCTCAGGGAGAGTCTTTCTCAATCTTATCTGGAGAAAGAAATTGGAATCCTTTTCCAGGGAATCCATATGCTTTGCCCTCCTAAGCTCTAGTTCTGTCCTGTCCCTGGGCAAGGAGGAGATGTGGTGCAGATGTTCAGAGAGAGAGAGAAAATTCTGCAGAGGATGACCACGGATGTGTGTAATGGTATGTGGGAAAGACCTTGGGAGACGGGGCAAAGAGATGCTGCCAAGGGAACAGTCAGATAAGAGCCTGCAGCTGGATAATGGGTGGGAGAAGAAGCTCAGAAGGGACCCTCCCTAGTTTTTCCGGCTGTAAAGGAGACGGGGGAGAAATGTACTTTCAGACTTGAAAGATTCAATGTAGCTTTACAATAAAGTAGAATTAGCTTATCTGGTCATGTTTCCTGTCTGGTCTACCTGGAAGGCTGACAATATGTCTCTGCTGCCTTAAAGGTGTTTATCTAGTGTTTCTCATCAATTGCAAAACAAAAAACAAGACAAAAACACTACCAGCACACCATGCGACCTCTCAGTGGTGGTGCTTGATAAAGTTAGAGTTATCACTGAACCTTTTCCCGCAGACGGAGCACTCATAGGGCTTCTCGCCCGTGTGAATCCGCTTGTGGACAATGAAGTTGGAGTAGTCATTGAAACGCTTCCCGCAATCCAGGCACTTGTAGGGTTTCTCCCCCGTGTGAATACGCTTGTGACGGGTGAGGCTCGAACCCGTGTTGAAGCCCTTCCCGCAGTAAGAGCACTTGTACGGCTTCTCCCCCGTGTGGACCCGCTGGTGGATAAGGAAGGCGGCCCGGCTGACGAAGCTCTTCCCGCACTCCGAGCAGTTGTACCACCGCTCGCCTGAGTGGGTCCGCTCGTGGGCAATTAGGTTGGAACGCCGCCGGAAGGCCTTCCTGCAGATGAGGCAGGCGTTGTCTCGCTCGCTGGGAAAGAGACCCGGCTGCAGGACACTCTCATCCAAGTCCTCGTACGTTCCCTGGGAGTTGATGAATTTGCCCTCTGCCTTCTCCAGGCTGTTCCAGTACAAGGTTTCAGAAGCTTCCCCCAGACCGGGAGAGCAGGCGACGCTGGGCTCACTTCTTCCAGACCACGTCCAACGTGACTCTCGATCCTCGTTCTCTGCCCCACATAATTTCTCGTCTGCTGGAATGATTCAAACCAAGATAAATTAAGCACTCTCTTTGGACCGGTGTTCCCCAGCCAGAGCTTCGTTATTGCCCGGACTGCAACCTGCTATCCCTAGTTGGCAGAGGTGGGAGATAGGAACTGGAGTCCAAAATCATTTGGTGAAGATTTCCTTGGATTAAGAGTGAGCACTACTTTCTACTGGATTAAGACGGGAGGCGCACCCTGCCCCAATATTTAAACCAAGCCTACTTAAAAGCTGTGTCCGCTTCACATGCTATGAAACCAAGCCTATTTATTTTGGACTAGCGTCTTGTAAAAATGCAGCCAAAGATGGCAAAAGAAGAGTGACTTGCTGTTTAGGAAGCACACTTTGGGTTGTTCTGCTAAGAACTTTGCAATGGAAAAATCTGCTTCTTGCTTTGTTTGCAGATGTTGACTCAGCAGAAGCACCCTAACCCCAAGAAAGGCCAAGGAGGAGGAGGAAAGCTCAGAATGGAGGATCCTATAGAGACACAACTGGTAACTTCCTCTCTGAGAACAGATACTCTGGACTCACAGGAGCCTTCTACAGGTAGTCCTTGACTTACGACCACAGTTGGGACCAGAATTTCCATCGCCAAGCAATGCCATCGTAAAGTGTGATGTCACGTGACCACATTGCTTAGCAACGGCATTCCCAGCACTTCCTGTTGCCGTCATTAAGTGAATTCCACTGGTCGTTAGCTGAGGACCCACCCCAATCCAAGCTATTCTGAGTTTGGTCTCTCCCAGTCCCGAGCCTCAGTAAGGTGATTACCTCCAACTCCCCCCACCCATCTCCCCCCCCGCCCTTTGGGCCACCCTGCATCCTGCCTTGTGGGGCGGCAAGCAGCCCTAGAACTGCATGGTTCTGGGGCTGCTTGGCATGCTGTGGCTCAGGGGCTTAAGTCGAGAACTAACCGCACCTCATTCCTGGCTGCGTGAGAACAGTTCTCCATCATGTAACTTCAGCATCACCACAGAATGTGGGTCAGACCAAATCCAGCTACTGTATTATACCTGTTTATCCGAGAGTCAACCCCACTAAACCTAGCAGAACTTACATGTGAGGAAACACGTCAGACTGCCAGTTGATGCTGATGTGGTCCCCAAGGACTGAGCATTATCTCCCAAAGGGAAATATCAACAGCCCAGAACTTTGATGAGCCAATTCATGAAGGAAGGGGACAGCTGGCTCCCGTCATGGATAGATCATCCTTCTCCATCAAATCCCTTCCTTCATGGTGCAGAAGAGAGATCACCTGGTGTCCTACTTTCCACCTCTTTCTGCTGCCAGTATGTACATAAAAGGGTTAAAGTTGGAATAAGCCATTGTTGTCCAAACTTGGCCACTTTAAGCTGAGTGGACTTCAACTCCCAGAATTCCCCAGCCAGCATGGGGGATTCTGGGAGATGAAGTCCACTCAGCTTAAAGTGGCCAAGTTTGGACAATACTGGAATAATCAAAGGCCACTCCCTTTGGGACTGTCCATGCTGATTATCCATGGTATTATTTCCAGTGGCTCTGGAAAGTTGTCTCCTTTTTTTTAGGTACAGATAATATAAATTCTTGTCTGTAGTTCATGTCTCTGTCTCCCTGATTTTGCTGCCTTTTATCCCATTTTGCCAGTGACTGTTCTAATCTTTGCTATACTTTTCCTAGCTGTAGCGAGTGGCGTGTGTGCTTGCTCTGATCTGAGCTGGGGACTGACTGGAGTGTGATGGGTGCAAACGAAATGGGAAACTACCCACAGTAATTTCCCAACATCTTTCATTTCACAAGTGCACAGCCTCAAGTGATTACGACATCCAGAGGCCCTCACCCAACAGCACCGCGTGTCTGTCACTCTCCCGCTTCGTCTCTCTAAGGAGGGGTCTCTGCCAGCTCTCCAGGGGGGCCTTCTCAGTCAAATGGTCCTTCTCAAAGAGGCTGATGGCCTGAAACAGAAAAGAGCCCCATGATGAAGTCCCAACCTTTCAGTTTAGCAAGAAGGTGCAACACGTTTTTTGGTTCCTTTGAGTCAATCTCGACCCTGCAATTTTCTTGGCCATGTTGTCAGAAGTAGTTTGCCTTTGCCTCCACCGCCGCTGCCTCCTCCTCCTCCAGGCTGAGAAGGAGGAACTGTCACCCACCTGACCTCATGCCCAAGGCAGGACTAGAACTCAGGGTCTCCGGGTTCCTGGCCTTGTATTTTTCTCCACTGCACCAAATTGGCCATCACCACATTTGCCAGATGGGAACTTGGTGAGGCTGTTCCATTTGGCCCTTCTAACTTCCCGAGATGTTTTCTATGACCTTAGTTTCCCTTCCTTTCCCTTCCCTTCCCTTCCCTCCCCTCCCCCTCGGGTACTCCCTCTCTACTCACCTACCTACCTACTCGCAGGCCACTCAACTCATTCCCAGGCAGATGGTCCCTCTTCCAAGCAAAGCACTGGGCTCTTACCACTCCCCATTTTATTTTCCAGCACTCTCTCGTGGACCTATTTCTTTACCAAATCCTGTCCCTGTCTAGGCAACATGGTGTCCCCTCCCACAGCAACTCTGGAGAGTGGCTGGCCGGACGGGCTGAGGGCCCTCCCTACTCCTAGTCCAGCACTGTCCCCCCGGTACCTTCCTGCCCCAGCTCCCTTCTCCAGAGAGCGCTGGCCTCTTTTCCCGTCTTCCCACCCACCGAGAGACCCCACCGGCATCGCTCACCTGCTCTTCCTGGGCTTTGCTCTCTTGCTGCCGCAGCAGGAAATCTTCCGCCAGGATGACAGCCTGGGCACACGTCTGAGGGCGACACTCCCGGACCCAGCCCTGCATCTCGGGGGGCAGGATGGCCAGGAACTGCTCCAGGACCACCAGCTCCAGGATCTGCTCCTTGGTGTGTCGCTCCGGCTTCAGCCACTGGTGGCAGAGCCTCCGGAGGTGGCGGCAGGCTTCCCGAGGCCCCTCGGCTTCCTGGTAGCCGAACTGCCGGAAGAGGCAGCGCTCATCGTTCAAGGCAACGGCCTGCTGGCCCAGGGGGAGACTGGCAGCTTTCTGACTGTGAAGCCGCTTTGGGGGCTCCATCAGGTGGGCTTCCCCGCCCAGGCTGATTGCGAGCTGGGCCCCTCTCTCGGCTCGAGGCTGCTGGGTGCAGTTGGCTCGCCCTCGGAAGGAGGTCAGGGACGGGCGAGGGCTGCTTCTGGGCAGAGGCGGCCGGGGCTGTGGGCTGCCCCCTTCTAGGGAGGGGTCTTCCAGGACCTTCAAGAATTCCTGCAGCTGAGACTCCCACCGTTGTTGCAGGCTCCTGCGGGGCTCCGGGGTTGCTTTCTCGGGAACAGGCCTCTCCCAGAAATCCTGGATGCTCCCTGTGGGAATCAGGCGGGAGCCCGGGCCCCCTCCCTTCCCCTTCTTGGTTCCTGCCAAGATGCGTTCTCCCATCTCTGTCCCCTTCCGTTGCTCGGCCTTCAAGGGTCCTGGGGCTGATGTCTCCCTGAGCTCTGCGGCCATTTTCTCTCCCCGGCTACGTGGACTGGCTGAGTGCTCTCGCTCGGTGGTGGCAGCACTGCCCCCGTCTCAGAGGGAAACTGGCATGGAGTTCAAAACCAAAGCTGTCTAAATGCAAACAAGCTTTCCCCTAAAACAAACGGAGACCATCAGGTAGAATTGGAGACCAACCGAGATCCCTTGGCAGGGCCCCGGCCCCCGCTCAATTCCTTTTTGTAAAAAAAAATTAGATATATATCGACCTTCCCTTTACGACAGCCTTCACCAACTGGGGTGCTCTCCAGATATCCAGATCTGACCCCCCCCAAATTCTGGGAGTTGAAAGCCACGAATCTAGAGGGGGCTTTAGTTGCTTCAGGTGACCTCTACGGCATTCCTTTTTTCCACTCTTCCTCACCACAGCCACCTTGTAAGGTAGGTTGGCTGAGAATGAGTGACTGGCCCGAAGTGAGGTTCCAGATATGTGGACTTCAACTCCCAGAATTCCCCAGCCAGCCATATCTTAAAGGTGCTAAGGTTGAGAAGCACTGAATTAAAGTGATACGTAAGAGAAGCAGGCAAACAATAAATCAAAGCACCAGCCTCTAGGACCACAGTGATTTCCAAAAATGCATCTGAGTTCCACAAATTGTTGCATTTGAAATGAGTGTCAGTTTGATGTAGCGGTGGGTGAAGGCGCTGGCCTAGAAACCAGGAGACGGTGCGTTCCAGTGCTCCCTTAGGCGCGAAAACTGGCTGGGTGACTTTGGGCTAGTCTCTGTCTCTGTCTCTCTGTCTCTGTCTCTCTCTCTCAGCTGGCCCCACCTCACAGGGTTGTTGTTGTGGGCAAAACAGGAGGCAGAGCATTATGTCCACTGCCTTCGGTTGTACATAATAAAGGTGAGATCGAAATCTAATTGTAATAATAAGGCTCAACATGGCAGAAGCTGAAGCCAATGCTTTGTTCGGGGGGTGGAGGGTGTCTTTGTTGTTGTTCAGTCGTTAAGTCGTGTCCGACTCTTCGTGACCCCATGAACCATATCGCACCAGGCCTTCCTGTCCTTCACTGCCTCCTGGAGTTTGCTCAGTTTCATGCTCCTGCCCAGAAACAAGTAATCTAGTATGGAAATAGGAGGGAGGAATCTTGTCCATTTTTTTCCTGGTAAACAAATACTTTACAACAGGCCATATGTCCTCCGTGGCACCCATTTTTGAGTAGGAAATGCCTCCTGTCAGCCATTTTGTGAGCGCACCACAACACGTACCCAAGGCCTGCAAAAGACCTTGCTTAGCCCTGAACTGGAGCAGGAAGACAAACAATTTCCGTGCCCACAAGCAGCCCCTGATGTCCCCAGAAGATGCAAGTTTAATTTTGGAGAAGACAGACGTGTTATTTCTGAACAGTTCTGGAAGACAGCCGTGACTGCAAAGCGATACAAATAGGCAATACTACTTCTGCAGCCATCATGCCGGCTGACATGTGAAGCTGGGAGCTCTAGGGACTGAGAACCCACCTGTTAACTCAGCATCATGTGCAAAAGTTAATTCCTTTGAACCGATGATCTGGGATCAGATACACTACAGCTAGTCCCGAATCTCCTACTTTGGACCGTTCAAAAATGCTTTGTGAACAAATTCCCGGCAACTCTTACAACAGCCTCGTAACGTAGGATAAGATTACCATCTCCTGCTGAAGACGGTGGAGATTCAGAGAGACAACAATTCATGCAAGGCTAAAGTTGTGCATTTGGGGCCAAGCGCAGATTAGAAATGGACCATCAGGAACCCACGTTTTTAACAAGACGGGCAAAGTCAGAACTGATTCAGAGGATGGCCAGAGACAGGGAAGATTAAGGAACTGGTTAAGTTCATCCTGGGGAAGTGAAGCCTGCATATGGAGCTGGGTTTCATGCCCCCCGCTAATTGCAATTCGTTTTTAGGTTGTTGCAATTAAAAATAATAATATATGGGAAGCTAGCAAGCTGCAACACAAAATATCAGCCTCAAATACCTGCATTTGGAAAACAAATACAACCTAGGGCTTACTTTAGAGCAGTATTTCTCAACCTTAGCAACTTTTAAGATATGTGGACTTCAACTCCCAGAATTCCCCAGCCAG